TATGCGAATAATAATTTAATGCGCACGCGTAAGTAATTCATGTAAATGCATGAGACAAAAAAGCGAAATAATGACAATATAATCGCATTATATAATTAATTAAATTAGAAGCGGACAAATCAATACCCTCAGAAATGAAATTCGCCAGAGAATACATATTATAGATTTAGTAGAAGAGATTATTAATAAAACAATTGGTAAAATTAATTGCCGTTATCTTCGTCGCAAAGTCATATTTTCGAGACAAAATTACGTTAGTTGGACGACAGATTTGGCTACGCTTTCCCCTTAAACTACTTTTAACTGCTCTTTTTACGGATGCCCCAATGTCTCCCAGGATTGGTATTTCTGGAGACGCGCCAGCCGCATCTTAAATGTGTAAGATCCTCACCGTTACTAATCACGAATTCTCTACCGCAAATTTATTTCTCGCGAACTGTCTCGACCTCTTTTACCATTCCGCCGCAGGACATTCTCCCGCAGATTGCCGACGCATATACGGGGGACTTGCGGACGGTGGCCCCGTCCAGGAACTCGCCATTGAGACGCCGACGTTTTCCAGCTACGGTAAACACGACCGGGCCGGTGCCGCGTTAACCGCCATCCGGGAGCGCGTTTATTCGCCGACCTTCTTGCACGCCACATCGACGACGATGAAACGAAACACACTGGGGCGGTCTGCAGGCGGTCTTTCCAGCGCGAAGGCTCCGCCTGCGAGGCCAGCCGGGCCTGCATGCACGGTGCATGCACGAGAAACGTCAACTTCTTCGTGGCACCTACTTACCTCTTCGTCTTCCCGTCCATCCGTCCGTCCGGCCGTCCGTCCGTCCCGTCCATGCCGCCCATTCGAGCTGGCCTTCTCGGACACGCGGCGCGCCCTTCGCTCGTATGCTAATGCCCGCGGCGTTTCGTGACGCGATACAGTTTTCGTCGTTAACCCCGTCGCTGACCTCCTCCTCCAGAGAGTGGGCCTCCGAGTGAAAGTGCGGGCGACGACGGTGGTGCGCGGATCTTTCCGTCGTCGATAGACACCGCCGTTTCGTCGCGCCGCACATTCATATATGCGACGAATAATTCTATTGTTCGAAACGGCGATATCTCTAAGTATGTGAACGAAGTCATCTGAAGTTTTTTTTTTTTTTTTTTTTTTTGAAAAAAAACTCTCCCGTCCACGGATTCGATTATCGATTTTACCGGATGTTTGTCACTCTTTCTGAGTTTCCGTACACGTTGAAGGGGATTTATCACGAACACTTCCGCTCTTCCACGAAAGGCTGTGGCCGATTTGTAAGAGAGTGTTTCGAAAAAACGTCTTTATAAACGTTCTGAAACGCAAAATGAAGCTTCAAACAAGCTGTCCTTTCGTCATCCACTTTCCAATCAATTGAACGAATAAAGCAAAATATTTTCATGGAGAAAATTCGTTCTCTCTTTCAAATATTAAGTAGATTTGCGCATATCAAAATTTGTTTTTACTATAAAAGTTAACTCTTTAAATGCACTTTCCAACTTCATTTTGTGACAATATTTGTTCTACATTGTTTAGATAAGAGAATGATTCTCTCCGTTCTTTCGGTAAAAATCTTATGGTCTCGAATTAGGTATACCACATTCTTAATCGGCGAGCCATAACGAATAATGATTTATATAACAATCCGTCTCAACTAACGCCGCGACGTTCTTTTAAAGGCGGACCTTTCTCGGAACAACACTTTTCGGGCATTTAACAACGATGTTTCATTTTTTGTGAAATGAACTCACGCGCGTGATAGCGTGCGGCAGAAAAAAATACTTATTCAAATAAGAGAACAGGTCCATTCAAAGACCCGGATCGTTCCTCCTTCCATGCGTTTGCATGGAACTAGCGCGAGCATAAATTTCAACAGATAGTACGCTGCCGGAGCGAAAGAAGAAAGGACTCTCCCTCACGGATTCCCTACGAGCGGCTGCACGGTTATTTAGATCTTTCATTCTCTCGCGGACAACTCAAAGACTTCGTCGTCTATCGCCTAAATTATTTCTCCGGTATTTCCACGAAGAAAAAAAAAGTGAGAAAGAGAGTAAGAGGATGCGTGTAACTATGAGTTTTTTTTCTTGGCGTCGGTACATACTCTTTCTCTAGCGGCATTTTAACGTTATTTCGCTTAGCGCGTTAAGTAAATGGATGTTGTTACTTTACCTAGGGCGCTCTAATCTTGCAAATTGTGTTTTACAGAAAAGAAAAAAAAATCGATATCCTGTGTGCCGCCCTTACGACCATGGCTAAAGAGATTCAGATAACCCGCGCAGAGAGACCCGTGGCGCTTCGTACTTGCGATCACGCTAAATGAAAATACGCACGTAATAAGAGCGTGAGCGATACGCTTAATCGTCCGGACGGGGGAGGGGGGGAAGGGTGTGCCCCTCATACACTTAGTCACACTGATAAAGTATTCCAATTGCGACGCGAGGCGGTTTAGTCCGTGGCAGGACTGACAGGGAAATGATATCACGCTGACAAGCCGTAAATACATAATGAAGTGTGGAAACCCCGTATGTTCAAATCCATGAATGCCTCCATCCGTCATCGTGAGTACGCGCGCGGTACGACTTCGAATTTATAATCCCGTACGCTCATCTAGTATATCCGCGTGATTCATCATCTTATACACTCTTACCGCGACAGATGAGTAGCCGTCGCTTAGAATAAGTTCTGAGGAAAAGTTGGACGTTAAGAGATATGCAATTAATGTATGCTGTGCGCGCGCGGCAATATTAATCTTTTAATTAACGATTTCCTTTTCGACTCCGGGCGCACTAGATTTTTTTTTATCCGGTTAGAATTACCGTGAGGTGTAATAGATTATAATCTAATATTGAAATTTAATCTCTATTAAAATCTATAAAAATAATTTTTCCACATCACGGAAAGGATATACTATTCATAGAATCACACAATTTTACATTAATCGTGTCTGAATTAGTACATCCTTTTAAAAACGGCTGGTTATTTTATAACTCTTCGCTATAAACATTAAAAAATCCATATATTAAATTTGTCTAAAAATTTCAGAATATTTACACGAAATGACATAGTATTAAAATCAGAGTTTTTAAAAATAAAAAATTGAAATTCTCTTTAAAAGAATATCTTTAAAAGAGACTCTCAAGAATTGTTAAATGTAAAAATTTTTTTAAATTTATTAGAGTACAGATTTGTAGATTTATATATATGTATAAAAAATGACAAAACTATTGGAAAAACGCGTATGCTTTATAATCCCTTGAATTATTTGAACCTTTTTTATAACATGTAATCTATGAATCTAGGCAAAGAGCGCTAGCTTTATCTAAAAGCTTGTTTTAGTTCCCTAGATAGAATGCAGATGGCGTTAAAAGTCTCACCCACTTTTAGGGGTAGCTACCCTCTGCGCATGAATAACGCAGCTGTTTTTTCAAATACTAAAAGAAACTGCAAAGATATAATTTTTAAATTAACTTCGGGTAAATTGTAATAAAAATGTAACAATAATATGTAACGTTATGTAAATGTAAAGTTAATTCTAGACAAACTGATTGATCAATATCCGTTCTATTCATCTGTCAAATCCATTAATTAATAATTTATCAAGCAAGTTTGATTTATCGAACCTAGCCAGAATTATCGGTTATCATGCATACGCGGGCAATCTAATCACAACTGGCATCGAATGCGTAGCAAATGCACTCACGCATGCAAGTTGGCATGTTCAAATTCAAACTTGGAAAATATACATATTGAGCGTATCTGTTTCGAAACTTTTTTACAAGAAACCCACTCACGTTCGAAACGAAGATGCAACAAATCCTTTACAGTATGCAACGTTACGGCTGTCTTGAATACTTTTGGGAGTAGCTAAAAACAGCCAGTTGAAAATTCAAACCACGAAATAGACAAACAACAAATCATCGCGGAAAAAACTAGTATTTATCCTATAAAAGTTTGCCGACAGGCGCCGTGGGATACCCCATAGCCTATTAGACGACGTCGTGGACGTTACCCGCGAGGTGCCCGAGGGTGAAAGATCCTGACACGAAAGAGAAAGAGGAAGAGAATGCCTGTTTGGAAGAGAAGCCGTTTGATAAATGCGTGCCGGTGCGTCTAAGAACCAGTTTAGTGTTTACCTAGTAAGAAGAGAGATGAAGAAAATGAAGAGAGAGAAAGAAAGAGAGAAAGAGAGAGAGGAGAGAGAGAGAAAGAGAGAGAGAGAGAGAGAGAGAGAGAGAGAGAGAGAGAGAGAGAGAG